CACATGCTCAAACATACACTTTATGGATGGACATCAGGAGCAGAAACCCTAGCTGTTGTTTCTCTGCTCTAAAGCACAAACTTTGAGGCCAAATAGAATGATTCATTTCAATAGAATAACAGGACAGAAACCACCAACAATAATTTGGGATTAAGTAGTGCCCTTCACAAAGGATAGCATATCAAAACAGGACATTTGGCCCAACAAGTCTCTGCCGGTGTCTTACACTCCAGCCCTCCTTTTATCTATTTTGTCATATAATATCTGTTTATGTGCCAATCAGTCATTCATCTTATCTTGTTCCCTGTTATGCTGATTGTATAATAATAATCCTTGCATTTGATATAGCGCCTTATCATGTCGTCAGGAAGTCTTGAGATACACTGTAAAGTGGATTGAGTATTTTGTGGACAAAGCACCAGTTTGCGCAAGGCAATGTTTCACAAACAGCCATGGATAAAGTGACCAATTTTATTTCGGGAGTTGTTGGCCAGGACACCAGGAGAGAGAAGCTCCCTTCTCGAACACTACCATGGGATCTTTAACATCCACCTGAACAGGTAGATGGGATTATGATTTCGACTCTGATTCGAAAGGTGGCACCTCCGACAATGCAACTCCCCCAGCACTGCATTGGAGTGTCAGCTTAGACTGTGATTCCACGTCTCAACTTGAGGCTTGAACCCACAGCCATGGGGCTTTTCTGAGCTGCAGTTGACATCTGCAATTCAATGTCCCTAGTGTACATTTTATGATCTTCATTTGCAACTGAATACACATTAAAATGTTTAAGCGAATGCCCTTTCCTTCTCTCTTTCCCACCCCCCCCTAATTCTCTACCCAAGACTAAGTTGCTGGAATCAATGCAAACCTCTTGCCCTTTTATTGCCCCTCGAATATTCTGCTTTTACCACTTTTACAAAGTCCTTTTATTTTGTATTCTCTGAATTGAGACTCAGAATCAAGTCGAAGCCTGGATCCTTGCTTGTCAGCCGAGGGGGTGCAGCTCAGAGTGTGTCTGTCTACACATCCCATTATTTTTGAAATCCCGCTTTACGCTTGAAAATGCGATACATCTTTATTTTGGGGGTCAGAGGGGAGCATAATGTTTACTTGAGCTGGGTTCGAACCGCTTAATTCTCAGGCCTGTTTCCTGTATCGCATCACTTTGATTTGGGACCCAGAGAAAGAGAGAGAGAGAAACGGCTAAATTTTAGCTTGTCCGTCACACTCTCACCATGTTAAAATAACCTTTGTACATTAATGAGTAGGCCGTGTGACTGACTGCAATAAAATTAACGGTTTGTTCCTGGGCCACACATCTCAAGGGTGTACCTTGGCAGATTTGAGCAGAGTTCGATGGATAGTCCAACCAGTGAGATTCATTCTTGTTGTTGCTCAATGCGTGTGGATAGTAATAATAATCCTTGCATTTGATATAGCACCTTATCACGTCTTTGAGACGTCTCAAAGCACTTCACAGAATATACTGTATATTTTGTGGATAGCACTGAACCTGACTCAAAGGACTCAACACTGACTATTGCCTGAGCATTTTTATACTCCACTTATTTCCCTTGGGTCCTTGGTGCTCATTTGGCGTTGAGACAGATTGACCCTTGCTGAGGGTGGGTGGAAAGAAAATCAGCAAAGGCTCCTATCTTTTATTCAGGACTGTGTGTGTGTCAGGACTAGATGAAGCTTTGTATTCTCTTTCTGCTCTTTACCAGGTGAAGCTTGTGGTTTGTGAGGACGTAATTGAGGTGTGGCTATGAGTGGGGTTGGAAGAGAAAGGGCTAATCTCCATGTTTAGTAGAAAAGTCGAAGGCAGGCTGAGTGCTTTAAAATTGTCTTAAACTTCCAGTAGAGGCAACTTGTTTATAGAAGTTTTGGTCCCTTGTGTATGCTTTAAGCTTGACCGAAGGTCATTTGTGAAAGCTTTTCTACTTGTGTGGAAAAATGGGTCAGCAGGAAGTCTCTTAAGTTCAACCTGCCAAGCCTTGTGAATCAACAACTAAGCTGATTATTGTTAAAAATGGGTGGCATTGCTATGGTGCATGTGCAAGTTCTCAGATAACATCTAGTGCAGATATCTTCTCTATATCATCTGATCTCTCTCAATGCCACCACTGTACTCTGCTCAGCAATTGGGCTTTTTTTAAAAAAAAGAACAAATATTTGCCATCTGCATTACTTATCTAACAGAACGTGCCCTGTTCAGCAGAGCATGCGCTTGCAGACCCTTCGTTACAGGCCCCATTCACTTCTGAGAGTGGGTGGGAAGAGAGAGAAACTAGTCAGGCAGATTTCTACAGCAGAAGCACTTTTGGGGAAGTGATATTTCAACGTTTCTTCACTTGTTTGGTCTTGTGATGGGATATTGGCATAGGGAGAGGACTTGTGGTCTTTCAAGACTATGTTTGTATTCCCATCCACTCTTTCCAATCTTGTTTTTGCTCGGCAATGCTCTTATACCGATATAAATGTCTTCTCTCGCTCTCTTCTCCCCTGTATGTCTTACAGCAATTTGCATTTATACAGGATATTTCACACAGGGTAGCATATTGGAACATTTTTTAAAAAAGCAGCATAATAATAATAATTTGGTTAATTAATCCACTGAATATACAGAATATACTGTACAGTGAATTGGCTACAAAACACCCAGTGAATTCACTTTACAGTATATTCTGTGAGTCCCTTTACATGTCTCGAAGATGCAATGAAGCACTATATCAAATGCAAGGATAATTATTGCTAAGACCCCATATCCCCCACACGTTTACTTGTTTCACCCTGTATTTTTTTTAAAAAAATGCAAAATATATCAATTTCCAGATTGAAATGGCGATTTGCATATGAAGCACCTGGTGTCCTGATATAAATTGCTGAGGTGCATAGAATTTTGTGCATTGAAACCTATGGGGATTAAATGATCTTTAGCTCCTTGTAAGTTTAATGAGTGATCTCAACGTGCATCCTGTGCTGCAGAGTTGGATGCTTTGCATCCAACAGTTGGAGCTGTTTTAGAAGTTTAAAAAAAAATCGCAAGCTTATCCTTTGGTTTGTACTTAACTTATTGCCCTTACCATTACCAACCAGTGAGACGTGGCCTGCTAATCGCTTTCAGTGCTCTCTTCAGACATTGCTCAGGTTTGCATGGACCGAATGCAATTACAGCTGTTTGCTCTTTCACACTATTAGAGTGAACCCAGTATGAAGGTTTCACACATTGCCATTAATACCCTTTACTGAAATGCCTGACGACCTGAAGAAGTTGTTACTGCTGAACAACCAGTTTTGGTTTGTTGTTGTTGCAGAAAGTGTAGCTGTGCAGAAAGGCATATACTTTGGTCCGAGGTTTTTCTCTAGGTCCCAGATATCACTAACTTCACTCAGCAAACGACGGCCTGCTTCACAGTCAGTGACCGAGCCTTCAGTACCGACCAAGACCTTATCCCAAAGTCCCTCTGCTTCGCCCCTGCTTTCAAAGCACATCTATCAAGACTGGGTGGATAGATTCTTGTTAGGTTAAGGTATCAAGGGAATGGAGGCAAAGGCAGGTAAATGGAGTTGAGGTACAGATCAGCCATGATCTAATACAATGGTGGAACAGCCTCGAGGGGCTGAATGGCCTTGGCCTACTCCTGTTCCTGTGTGCTGCATTGTTGGAGGTGCCATCCTTGGCATGAGATATTAAACCGAGGCCCCATCTGCCTGTTCAGATGAACGTTAAAGATCCCATGGCACTACTCGAAAAGAGGAGGGAGTGTCTCCTGGTGTCCTGGCCAACAATCCCTCAAAATTGGTCATTCATCCCGAGAACCGCTTTAAATCGTCCTTTCGACGTGATAAGATGTTTTACCAAATGCAAGGATTGTTACATTACTCTATGATTGGTAACTGGCTTTGTGGCTATTTTTGCAGTGGTCTGACCTTACTGAACATAATTTGACATGAAGATCTTTCTTTCCTCTGTGTTGACTGACTACCTATATCACTCACTTTAGTCTGCAGTTTGCTGAGTAAACTCTTCCTTGTCGGACGTGACAAATTGAATCAGAATTTTTCTATTGCATTTTCAATGTACTCACACTCACCACGATGACTGATGGTTGGTTTCTAGGGAGTGGCGTGTTTGCTATTTCTCCTGCTATTTCTAATGCCAGAAAGAGCGTAGCACAGATTATAGTCGCTTCTTCCATGCAAAGCAATTAATAATCCTTTCATAGCACCTCACCATTTTTTTGATATGTCTCGAAAGTGCGTCACAGAATATGCTCTAAAGTGAATCGATTGTATTTTGTGGGCAAAACATGCCAGCTAATTGGCACAACATTGTCCCACAAACAGTCGTGGATTGAAGTGACCTTTTTTGAAGGGATTATTGCCCCTGGAAAGCAATCTGTGAATTGACTAACCACCGGGTTCCCACTAGGTAAACGGAGGGAGGCACGTGGAGTAAGGAAACTTGCCTGAGGTTTCGCCCTGCCTGGGAATTCGTCAATTTATGCTAAATTGAGAGCAGATCTTCGCTCTTAACTGTGCATCTGTGCACAGCCTCCCTTTACACAAAGTCATAGGGTCTGAGGCTGAGAAATTTGAGTCTGAGGCTAAGAAATAAGAGCAGTGTTAGCACTCCAGAGTGTTTCGACTCCATTTAACTCCCCCCTCATAGTCGTGCAAGCGTGATGGGATTAGGATTGCCCACTTCAGAAGGATTGATGCAGAGGGGATTCAAGATTTATTAGAGCAGCAGAGACAATGGGAGAATCTTTATTGGAAATTCTAGGAACACTTCAAACTCAGGTATGAGGAAAGGGTAACTCAATGGGACTGAACACATCGCTCTTCAAAAAGTAATGCGGCAGCCAACAGAAAGAATAGCTGCCTTCAGTGCTGTAAATTTTCCATGGTTGTGTGTGTATGTGTGATACACCTGCCATTTGACATATAAAATCTAATGACAAAATCCCACTTTCTTTCTGATTTTCTTCCAGCTGCCGAGAAATCCCGATCTCATCATCAGGCCAGATCTTCCATGCGACGCACTTCGTCACTCGATACTATAATTGGGCCGTACCTGATAGGACAGTGGCCTCGCGAAGCTGATGGACACGATACAACGTGGTTCAATGAGAAAGCTACACAGGTATGGTGACGAGAGATGGAAAAACATTTGACGCGCAAATACCGACAGTACAATAAAAATATTTCTCCCGCAAAATATATAGTCAATTCGCTTTGCAGTGCATTCTATGAAGCGCTTTGAGACGTCTCGAAGACGTGATAAGGCGCTATATCAAATGCAAGGATTATTATAATTATTTAACTCACGATAACTTGTCACTAAGGGAAAATGGTGACGAGTTATCCTGAGTGGCGAGTTAAGCTTATGTATAAATACATAATTGCAGCTGGGACATTAACAATGTGATGACTTAGGTGGTAGTGGCAAGTTAAGTCCAGGGTTGAGTTATCAGAAGTTTACTGCAATAATTCTTACCATGTCGGCAAGGTGTCTCAAAGCGCTTCATAGGATATATATGTAAAGTGGAATTGACTACTTTGTGGGCACATTGGGGCTTTCAACTCAGTCTAGGCTGATGCCCCAATACAGTGCTGGGGGAGCATTGCGTTGTCGGAGGTGCAGTCCTTTGGATGAGACGTTAAACCAAGGTCCTATCTAACCTCCCACCTCCCCCATAAAATTGGTCGTGCACTTCATGGCTGTCTGGGGCACATTTCTGCTTGTGAACACAGTGGCTGCCCTTTACAGGGAGTCCTGTGAGGCAGTTTGAGATGTTTCGATGTGATAAGGCGCTACATAAAATGTAAGGATTATTGTTGCATTTAGCTTGGAGCAGAACGGTGCCATTCGTGTCACTTCTCTGGCTCTGTTGGGAGCTATTTCCATCCTGTTGGCAACAGGTATGCCTTTCACAATGTCCTGACTTGTAAGTGTAACCGCTTGTTGTCTTCATTCATGAGGTCACGTCTTCCAGCGTTTTAGCATTCTGCCCATAGCCAGAATGGTAACTGGCACCAGCTTGCAAGCTAAGCCTGATATTGGCATTTTCCTGACACCAGTATTTTTGCCCACCGCTGACTGCCCTCAACTTCCTCATCACTATTAGTGTCCAGCGACCAACGTGACATTTGCAACAAGGCGTGTTTGGCACATTGTATATCGGAGCTTTTTATAACTTGCCCCCTTTTTCAACTGGGTAAAAACACATTGTGTGGAAGAGAACTGAAACTTCAAGTGTATGTTGTATTTTTTTCTCTTACGTATATTGTTTGTGTCAGTGGCCAAATGCCATGCTCTTGCACAAATGCGGTTGAATTGGAGAAGCAACTTTGGGGAAGATCAGTGATGCACCAAAGCGCATTTATTTCCTTAACGTTTCTCCCCACACTCCCCACCCGCCCGAGTGCAGAGTTTTGAAATATCTGTCTGCTTTCCTTTTCTGTGGTGCAATTGCAGAGCATTTGTAAAGTTCCTGGTCTGAAAACTAAAGGAGCTTGAATTTGGGCCAGAGCTTCTAACCATGCAAAACTATTGGAGACACATTAAACTTAGTTCTGTAATAGTGATTATTCCTCGCATTTGATATATCGCTTTGTCAGGTCTTCAAGACGTCTCAAAGCACTTCACAGAATATACTGTAAAGTGAATTGACTATTTTTTTGTGCGAAGCTCGGCAGCCAATTGCACACAGTAATATGTTACCTTGCTGGATTAGACAAGTGTTAAATGTAATTGTAGAGTAAATTGTTAAACCAAGGGTTCTGTCTGTTCGGGTGAACATTAAAGATCCCATGGGACTACTCAGGGAAATTTCTCCCTCTGTCTTAGCTAACAGCCTTCCAGTTTTCTTCATGACGGATGTTAGGACATTGCTGTCCACTGGGTTTGCAGTCATACAGCACCACGAGGTAGCATCTTGGAGTATTTAAATAATAAACAGTCACTACACTTAACAGTAAAAATCCAGTGAAGCTCTTCTGAGGCGTCTGCGATAAGAGCTGCATCAATTGCAAGTATTGTAAATATCACCAGCTGGAGGAACTGAGCTTTTAATAGCAAAACTGCCAATAGCTGGGACACTTCATGCACGTGATTCTGACCTGTGATCCACTGTAAATGTTTCCCTTTAGTGTGTATGTCATGCATATCTTATTCTACCTTAATGCTTGGGCTTTGAAAATTTCTGCTTGTGAGTACTTGTACAGTTGTGACAGTTTGTTCAATAGAGTCATGAACATTCTGGTCTATGTGACCTGAACAATGCATTGTACTGCTTTGGGATAGATAATACATCCGGTAGTTACACCCATGGTGACTGGTTTCTTTCTGTGTGTCAGACACCCAACTGACCCAAAAGAGGGAGAGCCCCCAATACTGACGCTGCAAGTCGTTGAGAATAATTAAGGAAATGTAACTCATGCATTAGTCTGCTGTTAGTGCATGAGGACACAGGCCTACTTGCCATCCCACACACTTCCCGCCCCACCATTGGCAGTCGGGCATTCAGCATCTCTACCCCTACATTCCGGAACTCTGTCCCACAATTCCACCTCCTCACCCCCTCTCTTGCCTCTTTCAAATCCCGTCTAAAGACCTTCCTCTTCGACCCATGCCTTCAGCTACCCCCACCCCCCTGCCTTCCACCCCTCCTAACCCCAACTCCCAGCTTGGGTCCAAGTGCCCTGGGACATCTTTCCAATGTGAAGTGGGTGGAGGAATCTAGTTGGGTGAGTATTCCTTCAATAATAATTCCTTTAAAATAAATATTTAAAAAAATAATTTGGAACTCAATCCACGACCGTTTGTGGGACACTGCTGTGTGAATTGGCTGCCACATTTCGCCCACAAAATATAGTCAATTCACTTTACAGTGTATTTGAGATGCCTCGAAGACATGATGAGGCGCTATATCAAATGCAAGGATTATAATTCTGCCTTAATTCTTGGGCTTTGTAAATTGGTGCTTGTGGGAACTTGTACAAATATGACAGTTTTTTCAATAGAGTCACGAGCCTTCTGGTCTGCGTGACTTGAACAATGCTTTGTACTGCTTTCGGATAGATAGTATATCCAATAGTTACTGAATGAGTGAATAACTGCGCATGTTCTGAAGCTCTTTTCAGAACATTTGACTTATACACATGTGTTAACCACTTCCCCCTCGCCCACAAGATTATATTGGGCAAGTGCTATTGTTCCCCTTTAATACATTCAGTGTCCTGTCTGCGTACATGAAGGAAGAGAAGGCAGTTTCCCCCAGTGTCTTAGGCCCAACAGTTGTTTGAGTGATGCTGCTATGCACAATTTGGCTGCCGCATTCACCTATAAAACACATTCACAATTCTACAGTAAATCCTGTGAAGAACACTTGACATTGCACTGTGATAAGGTGGGTGTTGCATCAAATATAAGGATTTTGTGCAATTAATATTATTCCTCATACAGATAAGAATTATGCTGGTTATTCTCAAAGCTGGATTTCTGAATTTAACCTTGCATCCCCAGCATTGGGTGGTAGGTACATCTTTGCTCTAGGAGATTGGTTGAGAGAGGCAGGAATATTTGGATTAAGAATCTTTTTTTCCTTTTCCACCCCAGCCCCCCTCCTCACCCCAAAACGGAGGGGACATTCTGCAAATTCTACTTACCAAAAACTTAATTTTTCTTCAATTAAACTCCGTGTCAAGAAATTTTAAGTCACTCCACTTTCCACAAGGGACTATTTCAAGTAAAATAGGGGGTGAGTTCAACTATCCCTTTAAGTAATGAGAAACAATTATGCTTGCAAACCAGGCACAGGCAGAATGGGCTGAATGATCACCTTCCACGCTGTAATATTCTATAATTCAGTAATGACTGATTACAGATTAATTTTCAGCATGTGTAAAAGGCCCTACAATCGTGAGTGTAATTGTACCAGGTGGAGTGAGCAGAAGTGAGCTACCGCTTTATGCTGTACAAGAATCATTGTGTTAACTTGCTGAAACACTGTTCCAGTGGCCTACTTAAGCATTTGTTCTACTGTGTGGGCAACCTTGAATTGGGTGATGTGCTTGGTGCCCTTTATCTACTAACCAATTGTCCGTGTCAACTGGTGAATTTTGTGCCGACTATTTCAGAGGTGCCACACAAATTTACATTTATGCATGTTGCGCCTTTCATGTTGGGAGAACAGCCCAAAGCACTCGAATGATTAAATTTCTGAGGCCTGTAGCTCAGTGGTTAGAACATGTTGGCCAAGTTTCCTTACTACACACGCTTCTGTTTACCTAGCAATAAGTAGGAACCCGGTTGTTAGACGATTGGTGGATCGCTTCTCCGGGATAATAATTCCTTAAAAAAAAAATCATAAATTTTGTCACTTCAAACCACGACTGTTTGTGGGAAGCTGCTGTGTGCAAAATATCCAGTCCACATATAGTTATCGGTATGTTGCTGTGTGCAAATCAGCTGCCACTTTCACCTAGAAGATAGTTGCCACTTTACAATATATCTTCAAAGTGCTTTGACACTTCCTCCCGACATGAAAGACGCGATATCGATATCAGCTGCAAGGATTTATTAAGCCGACTGCAGATACCTATAAGTTGATGGGAACAACCAAAGGGACGCAGTCTTTAAAGCGTTCATGGTGGCTGACAATCAGGCAGAATTGAAGGCCGCATTGCGGGGTTAGTCAGTTATCTGACTAACTATGCTAGATTGAACAGTATTATCTGAAATTGCTTATCTTTATGCGACAGCATATTTTTCTACTACAGTTCATAGTGCAGCAAGCTCAATCGACAGTTGCACAACCTTTCAACGCAAGTCGTATCTCTATTTTTTTTGTAGCGATGCTCGGCAATTCGTCTCGTCACTATTCCTTTCCAGGAATGGACAGATCATCTTATTTTCGGCTTAACCTAGACTATTAAAGGGAATGCTCGGTGTCGGGTGAGGGATTAAGATGCAGGGTGACCGTAACTGAACCTTAATGTAAAGGCTAGCAACTCTTTATATTCTCGGGCATCTAAAGCAAGTTGTCAATCCCAGTCTGACTTTTAAAATCCCCGGTTACTTCCATTCATGAGGGAGAAGGGAATCAAGGGGTATGGTGGAGGGGTGAAACTTTGGGCAAGTTTGCTTACTCCACACGCCTCTGCTTACCTAGCAGTGAGTAGAAACCTGGTTGTTAGTCGATTGGCGGATCGCTTTTCCGGGGATAATAAACCGTCCAAAATACAATAATAATTAGGTCGTTCAATCAACGACTGTTTGTAGAACACTGTTGGTTGCAATTGGCTGCCGAGTTTCGCCCACAGGTACACAGTCAATGCGCTTCACAGAATATTCTGTGAAGCGCTTTGAGACGTCTCGAAGATGTGAAAAGCGCTATATCAAATGCAAGGATTATTATTATTATGGTGGGGAGGGCAGAGTGAGGAAGATTAGGATGGGCGGAAGATTGTGTGGCATATAAATACCACCACAAATTAATTTGGCTTGTCTTGTTGCAAATTCCATGTTATGCGATGACTACACTCCTCTCACCCACCTAGTTTTATCAAAGTCCAATATTCTTTGATTAGCTGGTGGCATATTGCCAACATTTTGTATAACTATATGGAAGTGTTAGACTTGCAGGGTAACCTTAAACTCACTGTATAAAAAAAGAATTAAGCAGCTGGCTTCCAAAGCACGAGACAGAATTCTTTGTCGGACAGCGTGTGAAACTGTTGCGCATTCGTCCTCTTATTGAAGTTGAGAAACTCCGCAGCAGCCTCATAAAGCTAGCAATGAATGATGCACCAATTGGTTTCGAAGCCACCTGCTTTGAATCACTCCTCTGCAGGTGGTTAGGTTAGCTAAGGCATCCTGTATTTGCTGAATGAAATGCTTCCCTGATTATTTCAGCATGTACTGTACTGTGATGCTAGCATTGTATCTTGGATTTGAGTTAACCTCACAGTTATGGTTCAGTTGAATTGTTATCCGCTTAGAAATTGTATCAAAACGGAAACCTGATGTCTTTAGCTCCAGCTCAAACTCTTGAACTCACACCCTCCCCTCCACCATCGGAGGTCGTGCTTTCAGCCACTATGCCCCAAAACTGTCGGACACTCTCCCTCAGTGCCTCCACCTTGCCGCCTCCCCTTTTTCGAGTCCCACCTGAAAACCTTCCTTTTCGACCGTGCTTTCGGTCACCTCCCCCCAAGCCCACCACCAGCTCAGCGTCAGGCTCCGCCACTGTGAAGCGCTCTGAGACGCTGCCCTGCATGGGTGGTGCTGTATAAGTCCAAGTTGTTGCTGCTGTTGTTGCTGAAGACTAATTCTGTATGTATGTGTGTGTATACACACAACCAAATCTTATTATCAGGTGCTAATTGGAGTATCCATTAAATGCCACTCAGCCTTGTAACTGGTCGCAGTTGTCAGTAAGCACTTCCACAACGTGAGGTCACCGAGCGCGAGACTGACCTCACTGCAGATTGTATGGATTTCCTGGTCACGAAAATGGCCTACTTCCTGGTCACTGGGTCACCAGCATCGTCACTTCCTGCATATCGCATGCACAACGCTCAGTGATCTCAGCTATGGCCTGGTGAACTACTGTCAGCCATTATTTTTTTTAGCGCTTGGGAAACTGACTTATCTACAATGCTCCTGCCTTATATAGCACTTTAGGACGTCCTGAAGTAAAAGGCACGATATCAATGTAAATTTGTATTGTAGGAGACAACCATTCCCTTGGTAAGATTTAGTTTCTGATCTGTGTGCTACATACCTTTTTTTTCCCCAATGGGGTAGTTTGTCTTGTGTGCTCAAGCAGTTAAGTTCATTTCCTTAAAGCAAGTTAACACAGCTTGGAACTATAAATTAGAGGGTTCCTTTGTGCTTTCAGACTCCGAGTATTTGGCATGAAGTCAGAACAGAACGGAAAAACTCTCACAAGCGCTCAGCATCTTGGGGCAGTGCAGACCAGCTAAAAGAGGTAAGGAATCCAGCAGAAGTGATGCTGAAAGGCAATCAGGAACAAGTAACCCTGTGACACCCATCTGTCTGCATGTCTGCCCGTGTTTTGAAGATGAGAAAGAAGTGCCATCTTAATGGGAGGCGATGGAAAAACCACGACTGTTTGTGGGACGCTGCTGTGCGCAATTGGCTGCCACGTTTCGCCCACACAATATACAGTCAATTCAATTTACAGTATATTCTGCAAAGCGTTTTGAGACGTCTCGAAGACGCGATGAGGCGCCATATCAAATGCAAGGTTTATTATTGTTATTACCTGGGACTACAATCTGATACACATCAGTTGCAATGAATTTTGTCCACTGGTGGGCTTTTCACTAGCCAGAGGTTTTCCCCTCATGCGTGTGCAACACAATTAAGCCCTATCCATTTGCCATTGGGAAACCTCGCTTGTATACTGTGCAATCCCGCGAAGTGGTTTAGATCAGAGGCTTTAGCATCCATGTTGTGCATTATCCCCTCGTTCCAATAGTTAAATGGAAAGCTGTAGATTGATGGGCTCCCATGTTAAACCTAAACTGATGCAAACCAGTGTTAGATATCAAGAAAGGTCACCCAGCATTCCGTTTAGGCAAAATCTGTTAAGTCAAACTTTATTAGTTCTATAAAGTTACACCATGGAGGGATTATAACAAAGCAATGCTACTGCGGGACGAGACGTTCAGCAGCTGAAGTTCAAATCTGTCTTGTCTGCTTATTCAAGCTTTTGATCTTCCATCAAATTTTCACTCTTGCTGCTCCGATCTTTTTCTTGCCCCTCATTCTTTGTTCTCCCTGTCTTTATACCCTCATTCCACTCCCTCAATACGTTCCACCAATCTCTTGTCAGTCATTTACAATCCGATATTTTACATACCGTATCTACAAGGCCATTCACGGCCTTTGCACGGCCATCCTCACTGACAAAGCCATTCACGGCCTTGCTCCCTCCTACCTCTCTGACCTACTATCCCCCTACTTACCTGCCCATACCCTCATTCCTCTGGCTCCGGTCTGCTCCACGTCCCCCGCCCCAACCGCCCTACCATCGGTGGCCGGGCCTTCAGCCTCTCAGCCCCGAGGCTCTGGAACTCTATCCCCCAGTGCCTTCGCCGCCTCCTCCCTTTCCTCCTTCAAGGCCGGTCTCAAGACCTGTCTCTTCAACCGTGCCTTCAGCTCCCCTCTCGACTCTCTACCCCCTCCTCGCTCCCTCCCTTCCCTCCCCTCACCCTGACCATTTCCCCCCTGCTCGGGTCCTGACCCAACTGTCCAGCGCCTTGGGACATCCTCCCGACGTGAAAGGCGCTCTATAAATGAATTATTGTTGTTGTTGTTACACCATTCAATGGTTGGTGAATAGTTTACAATCCCTCATCAACATATCCAATCATACATTTCCTTCATCCCCTTTTTCTTCGTACTGATTCCATAGTTACCTGACCACATGTTACCGTGACCTCTCACCCATTTTAACCCCTTGTTAGTATGCTAATTTTGCACACCTTATGCTAACAATACTCAATGCTCTTATGTATAACCCAACACCAGGACGGGAGTGGGAATTTTCCTTTGGATCCTAGGGAGTGAGGAACTTGGTAATGGTTTCCGACAAATCTGCGTGTGTCTTCTTAAGGGACCTCCCTGCACCACAATCATTACAAGCTGATGGCTTCACCCAACAGTGCCTTGGAACGTCCTCCTGACGTGAAAGGCGCTATACAAACGTCATTTTGTATTGTTAGGTTGTTGCAAATAGTTGACCTCTTAATTTTACATTGAACTTCTAAATTTGTTAGCATTTTAACAAAACCTTTTCTCAATGTAACCGAATGGTCTCAGTGTTATTGCTCCAGCACGTTACGGTGATTTGTGAAAAGTGTGTGACTTGAGATTGTGCTTTACGCTGTTGTTGCTGTGATGGATGAAGACAGTGTGTTGACACTGCAGCATGTGAAGGGCCCAATATAAAAGTTAATCTGGTGGCACTCATTCTCTTTTGCAATTTGCCTAGATTGCAAAGCTCAGGCATCAACTCCAACGCACTAAACTAAGCAAGAGGTACGGCAAGGACAAGGGACGTCAGTCCCCTCTACACGGAGATTATACAGCGATGGGCACAATCCAGCAGGTGAGGTTGGAGTCTTGGGTCTAATTCAGAAGTCCTGATGAAGGCCCATAGTGCGGGAAGTCAGCACTGCTTGCTGACGGTCGAAAAGGCGGCGCTGCTTTTGCGGAAGAGAAAATGGTCTGCATTCCCGATATGTATTAACTCAAAAAAAAAAACAATTTGGTCACTCAATCCAGGACTGTTTGTGGGACACTGCTGTGCGCAATTGGCTGCCATGTTTTGCCTGCAAAATATGCAGTCGATTCACTTTACAGTGTATTCTGTGAAGTGCTTTGAGATGTCTCGAAGACGTGTTAAGCCGCTATATCGAATGCATGGATTATTATTAATACTGTCTAATTAGAATACTCTATTCCTGTGTGGTAACTAGTGTAGTTAATAACAGCTGATAAGTGGAAGGATTAATACTGCCTGCCTTTAGCAGATGAGTTTGTTTTACATAGTGCATTGTTCAGTATTTATTTAAAACTTGATGCCCCCCTTTTCACACTTTTTAGTTCAATTGAATTCATAACAGGAGAGGAATCTGATTATAATTTCCATACTTTAGTGCACAAGTCCCAGCAAGGGAATGTGAGATGTCTAAATCCTCCATTCCCATGTGTTCAAGGAAATCTTGGGAGACAGTCGGTTGCTTTATTTGCATTGCGTTTGCATAATTGTGACATTCTGCCCGATCTCATTCAAAGGGACACCCTTCAAAATTCATACCGATCCTATCAGCGAACCTTGGCATCACAAAATTAATCCCTCGACTCCGAAACAGCTTGGAGGCAATCAATCAAGAAATCGAAGGAATGTTCATTAAAGAACACGGGGATAAAGAGGTGCTGAGGGTAGGTAACCCTGCAGAATTCACTTCTTTATTATTACTGCGTTCGTATTGTATGGCTGCAGAATGCGTTGGATTCTCAAGGAATGTAGAGTTGAAGTTGGTTCAGTGTATTGTACTCGGGTATTGTACTCTCCCTCAATCCCTCCACCTTGCCCCCTTCTCCCCTTTTTCAAGTCCCGTCTGCAAACCTTCCTCTTCAACACCGTACTTACCCCCACCCCTCCCCTGGGCCAGAGCAGGCTCCGCCTCTGTTGAACGCTCTGAGACGCTGTGTGAAGGGAGCTATATAAGTGCAAGTTGTTGTTGTTATTGTGGTTAAGTTAGATCACGGTATCTGTTGCTGAGTTGTACAGAATGAACACTTTTCACATTTTTATCCCTGGGCTATGCTGAGTAGAGTATTTTTTTTTGCAAGCAATGACCTGTTCACCCTTCAACTGAATGTTTCAGCCTGGTTCAGTTTGTAGCACTCTTGCCTCTGGGTCAAAAGGCTGTGGGTTCAAATCCATCCCTCCTCACCTCCACGTCACGACTTTGAGCTCACAGTCCAGGCTGGCACCTCCAGTGCAGTGTTGGGTGAAGAGCTGCATTTCTTGGAGGTGATGTTGTATCCGAAGACATAGGTCACTATAATATTATTATATTATAACCAAGATATCAGACAGCATTTCTGACCCTGATCCTTATCAAAAAAAAATTCCCTCCCCAACTCTTGCTGGAAATTGATGTGGGGAAATTTGTGATGATTGATTTTATTTTGGGTGATACAGACAGACTGTGACCTCATCCCGCTCCTTTATTCAGCAAGTTATTTATAATAAAAATAAAAATAATAACTTGCATTTGATCTAGGGCCTTATCGTGTCTTCGAGACATCTCAAGTACTTTGAGGCATCTATTTAAGGCTGACTAACAACCTCAGCACTTATTCTTGCCCTCTGGGTAGAAAGGGGTGGGAAAAACCTGAACCACTTCACTTTTTGCATATTATACATTCTTTTTAGATAAGACACTGATGCTCTGTGAGCAAAAAAGCCAGGATATATTTGATTTAGCATCACTGCTCAGGACAAAGTGATTTAATAAAGGCTAGGACCCTCTCTCTTGTCAAGTAGTGCTGTAGGATCTTTCAACCACCTGAAAAAGCAGACTAGTCATTGGTTCAACATCTCGTCCAAAGGATAGCATCTCAGACATTGCTGCTCACCCCCAGTTCAGACCAGAACTCATTCATAGACGAGTGCACCTGCTGACTTGCGTGCAGCAATGTCAGAACAAACAGCCATATAGATGCCTTTGATTATATTTTATTATATTCTATTGTGGTAAATATACAGTCAATTAATTCATTTTACAGTGTATTCTGTGAAGCGCTTTGAGACGTCTTGAAGATATGATAAGGCGCTGTATCAAATGTGAGGATTATTATTGTTATTATTTGTTACTATAAAATGTTGCCTATCAATTGGGGATATGACGACTTTGATGTCTCTTGGCGCTTTGTGTGTCTCGGCAGATCATGGACACCCCAGATGGTCACAGGGCACCTTTTCCTTCCCAGCGATACAGCAGCAGCTCCCAGAGCGACCCCTCACCTGTGCTCCTCGGACAGACCAATGGCTACAGTAGCCCTTCTCCTTATCCATCCCCATCCCCTTCACCTTCCTTCCCCAATGGAGCTCAGGAAGAAGAAGGCCCTTGCTTAATTGAAGATGCATTGTTCAAAGGTGAGACGATGTGAATGTTTGTGAACCCGAATTAATTAACTTGGCGTTGCTTGCTGATGTGATGTGTTGTAATGTAATGGTCAATAAATTTTATTTAATGAGAAATTCTCTCAAGCGCTGGCCAGAGTTTCATGGGGACATAATTATTACCTGGTATTCAAATAATTCTGGTTCTGAGCTTGTGTGTGTGTGTGTGTGTGGGAGTGTATGGGTGGGTGGGTGGGGTGGGTTGAAGTAATCATCTTTTCAAAGCCCGGGCTAGTGAACTGCATTTTAAGTGAATCATTTAATAAAACAAGACTTTGTTTTAAGTCAACACTACAGTAAGAAAATAATCTGCAGCTAAGCTCTATTCATGCCTGTGTGCGGACGGGCATACTGTGTTTTTGTTTTTGAATATAGTCAGAACATAACCTTTTTTTAAACACTGTTGAGTTTCATTTGTATTTTTTTCATTTGAGATCTTGGTTGATTTAAGCTTAAACCCTCATTGTTTGGCTGGCAGTGACGTGCGCACTGAGGTTTCAAAATGAGGGGTTTGGTAATTGGAAGGTAGTGCTAGTGTTTTTTCCACCACCCCTCCAACCAACCAAATGTGGTGTTTTTTTCTCTTGTTTTAAAGCAGATGGCGGCAACATTTCACCCCCACCGAAGTACGCTTCCTCTCCCAAACCCAACCATAGCTACGTGTTCAAGCGGGAGCCTCCAGAGGGTTGTGAACGGGTCACGGCATTTGAAGAAACTCCGTGAGTTAAAAATTCTATTGTACCCGTAGGAAAAGGATTCATGTCTAACTTGTGTATTCTGATCCTCATTTCAGTTGCATTTGCAAGGATTATTATTGCGAGGATTATTGCAAGGCAATAATGTCTCAAAGCACTTCACAGGATCTACTATAAAGTGTAGTGACTTGAACCAAACTGTGCTGAATCGATAACTTATTCAAATTATTGCAAGGATTCTCAAATGCAAGGATTATTATTATTTGATCTTGTGGCTTACCACATTGTCTGAAGCCTCGGTGCTACGCAGGATTCCACTGTAAAGTGTCTTGAACTTCTGTGTCCAAATTGGCTATTGACCTTCAAATACGATGCCCCACAAACTGCCGTCTGAACCAAGCCACAATTTTTTTTATTTTGGTGGGATTGTTGGCCATGAAACCGAGAGAACCCCCTTTTCGAAGAGTAGTACAGGATCTTTGCAGGCCACCGAAACAGGCAGCCGGTACCCAGTTTAACGTCTCATCCAAAGGACTGAACCTCTTAACAGTGAGGTGTTCCTCATGGCTGAACTGGAATGTCAGTGTGGATTCTGAGATTGAGCTTCTTCAGCAATCTACTTTGTGTGCCCCATAATTCAGCAAGTGTGCTACAGGATGGCTTCTTGACAAACTCAGCTGTTGAGCAGCTATCCTTCAGCACACCTTGGCACTATTAGAACCAAGGTTCAAATGGTGCATCTTTGAGCTGAGGTTTACCCACCTTGGAGATAATGAGGTTTAAACATTTTCCTGGTTATTTTGCTCATTTTAGCTTAGTTCCAGCCTTTTTTGTGGTGTTCTCTCGCTTCCTGCCTTCCACCTGATCTGAAATCAGTCTGCCATTTTATAGCTGATAACTTGGGGTTCACAGTGTGAGGGAGCAGCTGGTACAGCCTATAAAATAAGAGCATTATAGGGGAAAGTTTATTTTTATCAAGTACTTGCATTCTTGAAATTCTATTAAGAATGTCCAGGTGCCAGTTTCTGCCTGCCTACTGCTTAACAGTGTCTATTTATTTAATAATAATAGTTACATTTGGAATAGCACCTGTCATGTCAGGGGGATGTCTATAAAAAAAAAGCGCTTCACGGGATCTACTATAAGGTGTAGTGACTGTGGAACCAAACTATGCTGAATCGATAAATTATTCAACTATGGTAGAATCCTACCATAACACAAGTTCACTTATAGTGTAGTCAGGGTGTGCACCTTAACATTTACCTGCCCCCAAAAATCCCAAAACAATTGGCAATTCAAAAGCACAGGTTGACCTAGGAAGCTAAATAAATGACTAACTTCCAGGCCATCCAATTGCTGTTGAGTTCGTGAGCAGGGTGCAGGATGTTGGTGGTGTTGGTGACCTATTGCCCTGGCTATTTGTTGAGTTCTGTAGTGTAATGGTTAAAGCACTTGCCTCGCAAAGCCAGAGGAGCTGGGGTTGACTTCCGGGCTTGTATACGTGTTGGACCATTTTATTTTTAACACTGTTAGGAAATAATACTGTGATGTGAAATGTGTATGAATGCTGGTCGGGCTGGATTCCAACTAGATTTACGTTTAATGCAGTGAGGTATATCTTAGAGCAGTACGGTCACTCTGACCATTGGAAACTTGTCAAGGTTAATAATGGGAAACTGGAAGGTGGGTGGATTCGCAGCTATTTTTTTAAGCTCTGCAAGTCCCACGTAAACTATTCAATCTCGTCCTTTGCACGCACGTAAAGTGCAATTTCAAGTTCAGTTTCAAGTCGTGGAGTCCTGTAGCTCAGTGGTTAGAGCACTCGCTTTGCAAGTGAGAGACCTGAGTTCAATTCCAGGCAGAGGGCGAAACCTTGGGCAAGTTTCCTTACTCCACACGCCTAATAATAATCCCTCCAAAAAAAAAACAAAACAATAATAAATTGGTCATTTTCAATCTACGACTGTTTGTGGGACATTGCTGTGCGCAATTGGCTGCCGCGTTCGCCCACAAATATACAGTCAATTCACTTTACAGTATATTCTGTGAAGCGCTTTGGGACGTCCTCCCGACGTGAAAAGCGCTATATCAAATGCAAGGATTATTATTATTTATTATTGAGCGTCTACAACACAAAATTACATTTGAATACCACCTTTCACAACGTGAGGACATCCCAAGGGGCTGGACAGTAAGGGGTTTGGACCCGAGCTGGGGGTTGGGATCAAGCGAGGGGTAGGAGTAGGAGGGTGTGGCTGAAGTCGCGGGCGAAGAGGAGGGTCTTGAGACTCGCCCTGAAGGAGGCAAGGGAGCAAGGCGAAGGGGTTGTGGGTAGGAGTTAATCCCCTGCACAAAGGTCTGAAATCATTAAAACTCAAACCCGTAAGATTCTCTCAGTTTTAAGCTTCAAATGGTGCTTCGTGAAAATTAATACTGAAAAACACAGAGTTGATTAAGAGGCTGTCACGCCTCCTCCTCAACTTTCCTACGCTGCAGTTTTAGGGAAGATTTTAGAACATCTGTCCAAGAGTCTGTAATTGACAGCACTAAGAGTTTCTAAGCAGGAATAAAATCTAGAGGGAGTTTATTTATTGACCCCCCCCCCCTTTTCTTGGGGGGGGTGGTCAATAAATAAAGTAGTGCCTCCAGAAAAGGAAGAAAAATAACCCTTTAGAAAATATACCAAACTATTCTCTTCCTTTTCTAAAGGGAATCATTTAAGCAAAGTACTCCCGGCATTATTGTTCGCTTGTAGGAATGCTGCAAAAATAGTGTTGGCGCTCTCTAAAGTCTAATTCTGACTTTGCATTTCATTACCATGAAATATATCCCCGGGCAGTGCGAAACGTTGGTCAAGTTTTCTTACTCCACGTGCCTCTGTTTACCTAGCAGTAAGTAAGAAGACGGTTGGTGGATCGCATTTCCAGGGTTAATAATCCCTCCGAAAAAATACAAAAAAATAACAGTTTGGTCACTCAATCCACAACTGTTTGTGGGACACTGCTGTGCACAATTGGCTGCCGCGTTTCGCCTATAAATACACAGACAATTCACTTCACAGGATATTCCGCGAAGCGCTTTGAGTCTCGAAAATGTGATGAGGCACTATATCAAATGCATCAATTATTATTATAATATTCTCCATTCTGCTCGTCAACTTGAATGTTACTTTACTCTCGTTTCTCCCTCTTAGGCTCATTTCATTCGGACAGGCTCTGCCGCACTCGTGCCCGGATAAAAACAAGGTTAACTTCAATCCCACTGGCTCTGCCTTCTGCCCCGTCCACATCCTGAAGCCCCTCTTCCCAACTGTTGACTTGATACTGAGGCACTTGCCAGCTTCTGGGTCTTCGGCCACTCCGATCGGATCGCCAGCCAGCACTTTGACCTCTTGCCAGTCCACCACTCAGATCTCATTCCAGCAACCGTTGGAGGACTCAGGCAGCACAACCTTTCTTGACCTTTCCAAGGAGCAACCACTTCAGTTTGATCATTGGAAACGCCCGCCGTCCGAAGAAAGTGCCTTTTTCCAGAGTTCATTAGTAATTTAATTGCTGGCAAAGCATCGACTGGAACTCTATCTACCCTCTACGAGTGTTGAATGCTACCTAGCCACTTGTCTTACCTGAAGGTTTTGTGTCCATGTATGTTAGTGCTGTGATAAACCAAGAACAGATCAAGCATCTGTCATTGGGAGGCAGGCCAGTCAGCATTGGGGTCTTTTTACAGTTAAAGGTTCAGTGTTCCATGCAGTTGCTCTAGTACCAATCATTACCTGATATTCTTTGGGACCGTGTACATTTGGCTTTGTAGGAAAGCGATGCAGCTATTGTGAACTCCTGTTCAAACTCTCTGGCAGCCTTTCATTTACTTACTTGTTAATACATTTTCTTGCTTGAATTACAAATCTATTTAAGAAAGATCTGCGATGTACACGAGCTTGGGTTTTGTTGAGAAATGGCAATGGGGGGGAAAGCATGGGAAAAGCACAGGACCATTTTAAAAATTGGCCACTGTCTCTTTACCTGGGACGATGCTTTTTTTTCTTCCAAAATAGCATCTTGTGTGACAGATGCTACAGTATTGAAAACAATTGTTTATATATTTAAAGCCTATTGGAAGCTTTTTTTTTCTTCCTTTAAACCATACTTTTTTTTCTTGCTCTTTACTTTATGAAAAGCGTTTTATTAGGTTTAGCCTTTTAAAAAGCTGCTTACTGAACTGAAAAGCAAGTTGTGCAAATACTGTTGATTTAAGGTTTCTGGGATATTAAGACTATGAAATTCGAGATTGGCGTTGTCGGATCCAATGGATTGTTCAGTGTTGTTTTGTAGTTGAGGTTGATGCGTCAAGTTGTGTAGAGACTAAGGAGGTTCCCATAGCAATATGGCCATGAAAGATGTACCTGTTTTAAGTTGACGCTATTAACTTTGTTAAGGGGTAATAATCCCTTCCTTTTTTTTATACTACAGTAATAATTTGGTCACTCAATCCATGACTGTTTGTTGGACATTGCTGTGTGCAATTGGCTGCCCCGTTTCACCCACAAAATGCAATCAATTCGCTTTACAGTATATCCTGTGAAGTGCTTTGAGATGTCTCAACGATGTGATGAAATGCTATATCAAATGCAAATATTATTTTTAGAGGAATAATTGACATTGCAACAAGGAAATTCAGTTCCCTTATCTAAGCAAATTAATTCTGTAAAGTTTTTTTTAAACACAATAATTGGGAGCACTGGTTCTTTCCCTGACTCCACCCAATAAAAAGCCAAGGAGCGATGGGGCTATAGTTTTAGAAAAGATTTAATGAAACCTAATTGACAAAAGTTAAAAAGTATTTGAAATCTAGTCTTGTTTGTTTAATTTATTTTGCCTGTTAATTGTGCGAGATTTCTGTGCAGAGTGGCTTTAAACGTTGAAATCCTAGTATGAGTACACTCGAGAATTGGCGTCTTCAAAGTGTTAACTTGGTGCTTCTCTTTGGTGCTATCTGTTGGAAACCCCCCCCGCCCCCCACCCCTCAATAAAATAAATCCCAGATTAGCTGTTTCAGTGACTAGGCTAAGCTTAGTAACGCAGCTGTGAACTTTGCCAACATATTGGGACAGAAATATTATTGTGGTTGCATTAAAGAACCTGCTTTTCAATCAGCTGTGGTATTGTTTAAATGTGCTGTATTCAGTTGGCATTCGCAGAGATGAGAGTAACATTGAGCAAAACGTCTGGACAAGCTGAATCATTCAATCTTCATTGGTTTCAGAATGATTCAGCCCGGTTGTTAGTCGATGGGCGGATCGCTTATCCGGGGATAATAATTACTTTTTTTAAAAAAAATTGGTCATTTCAACCCACGACTGTTTGTGGGACGCTGCTGTGTGCAATTGGCTGCCACGTTTCGCCCACAAATATACAGTCAATTCATTTTACAGTATATTCTGTGAATTGTTTTGAGACGTCTCGGAGATGTGATAAGGCGCTAAGTCAAATACAAGGATTATTGTTATTATTCAGTGCCAATGGCTAGACGTAACTGCTTATTTCAAGAGTATTTAGTTGCACTACAAAATTGTATTTTGTTAGGGGAGGAGAGGAAAAGGTACAAGACTTATTTGCACCATTGTTTTGCATAACATCTGTATGTATGATGTCCCTTGACTGGTACTACTTTTGTACTTTTGTAACATAGAATTTTTAAAAAAGTAGGCTTTTGTTAAAAAAATTGCAGGCTACATTTATGGTCTTTATTTAAATAATTGACCTACCCACTTAAAGGGTTCATTTAAAAGACTTAACGTGGCAATGAAAGGCGGAAATATAGTTGAAGTCCCTCTAGCTTAAAAGCAGTGGACAGGTTAAAACTTTGTTCCTCTGAATTCCAGTTTTATTTATAGGTATATTCTGATATACAGAGCTTGTCAGTAACGGTAACAGCCATTTAGGCTTTTGTCTCAACCTGAACTGTATAGTTTAATGCAGTAGTAACCAACCTGTGGCCCATGGGCCGAAAATGGCCCTCTGGATTGACAAGATCGCCCCCCCCAAAAAAAAAAAAACATTTACATGAGTCTAGGTAAGTCCCTCTTCGATTGGTAGTGTTTCAGCTTATTCTTGATTGATTTCTGCCATAGATCAAGAAATATTTGATTGAGAATTGTTTTGTGGATGTGTGATTTGTACCGTTCCGTTTTTCAGTGCAACTGATTGTCTATTTGGTCCCGCAAACCTTAGGACTTGCGTTATGGTCTTGCACATGGCATTGTTTCTCAATGTGTTGGTCTGTCTGTTCAGGTGCCAGCCACAGGGATCACTTGTGTGTATTGCTTTCAAAGCTACGCTTAGATTGTTCACACAAATACATTTGCCTCAAACAGCAATCTTGTGGTTCAGCAAGCTTCAATATCTGCACGCGTGGAATGGCACACAAATGTACTTTTTTAAAAAAAAAACTTGTCTTTGTCAAAAAAATCCCATTCCCTGTAGCTTTTTTAACAAGTTTTTTTTTAAAAAAAGTTCTTCATTCCTTTCCCATTCCTTTCACTCTATTCCCCCTCCCCGCTGACACTGCAGAATAAATATTTATTCATATTTAATGACTTGTAATATGCAATATTAACTAGAACTGCACAAACATCAGTTTGTAAATAGGATGACTGTACAGCACTAAGTGGATCCTTTCTACAAACTGCTTTCTTAGCTGAATACCAGTTTAGGCTTTACTTGGGGGTTAGGGTGACCTGATTCCTCATTTCAACCATCGTCTAAACTCCTTGTACTCTTGAGATGACCAGTCTCTTTGCAGTTGCACATGCCCTAATGCACTTAATTTCTACACCTTTGTTATGTATTTGAAATTGTTGTGAATAAAGTTCCACAAGCCTTTTTTGTGTATGTGGGTGGGGGAAGAGAGAAAAAACGATGGGGGGTGGTGGGGGTATGTACTTGCCATTAAAGCTATAGACATTGTGGACATTGCGGAAAAGTAGACTTGAATCGTGTTATTGTAACTGTTGGCTCTGCAGCCCTTAGAAAGCAATTGAGCAGCTATTCGGGAAAAAACAAATTACAGTACTGCAGAGGTTTAAAAATTTTAAGACGGAACAATTACTGCCAAGATATCATGACCAGTGCATTTAATAGCTTTGTTTGAGAATAATCACCTTGTTCTGAAGGGAGTTAATTCTTATTTTTAAACATGTTTATGGATTTTTGTTCCACTCAGTTAAGCCAGGTCCTTTTCAAACCCACCGTCTGGTCCTTAAATAGCAATCAGGATAGTAATGATATCCCAACCTTTTGTGCTCTCTGTCTCTCTCTCTTAACGCTCTGTGTGAGAGCAATAGCCACTCTTAAAATACAGGCTTCACATCAAAACATTAACACAATACACCAAGCTTGAATGGTGCATTTTGAATTTTTGGCACTTATACTCGATATTGATCAGTCTTTAAAAAGATTCCGGGGGAATGGGCTAGTAATTCAAAGGGTGGGGGTGGGGGAGGGGTGGTCGGTTAGCAGACATTTTGCATATAATAGGTGGAAAACATCAATGATTGATTTCTTTCTGACTGGACAAAAGCACAGCATTTTTCTCCACGTCTCTAAAAAAAATTAACCTTTCATTACTTGTGTTTTTGTAAAACTTGAACTTGTGTTTTTGTAAAACTTGAATTCAGTGTGAACTATGTATCCACATTGAAAAATAAAATGAACTTTTCCTGATTTGTTGGGCTCCATTGCAGTATAAATAATTTGATCGATCCATATGGGCTTTGTTTGTTTGTTATGTGACTGCAGGTAACTGCTACCACATGAATGTGTTCTGAGTGAAGTAAATTGTTGACCAAATTGGTTAATGTAACATCAGATTTGTATCAGCCAGGAAAGTGGATATCTTTTATTGTAGTTTTTTTTGGTCTTCTAGACACTATTTTTGGAGGAATCTGTTCAACTTACTGTACATATGTTTCGGAAAAGATGTATTGACCACATGAGCATTTGTTCAGCCGTGTGGATTTTGTTTAAAGTAGGTTCAGTTGTTTCAGAAATCTACAAAAAAAATAAAGTGCCAATTTCTACAGCAGATTGCTTTCCAATGTAGTGGCGTCTTCATTTCTTACTTTAAATTGCAGCAAATCACAAGAGAGGAGACAGAGCAAGAGAGGTTGAAAAGGCCTTTTTCAAATCCGTTCACTCCCTGGCACCTTCCTACCTCTCCAACTTCCTCACTCCCCACACCAACACCAGGCGCCTCCTGCTTGTCCCTTGCACCCTCCGCCCCACCATCGAAGATCACGCTTTCAGCCATTATGCCTCAAAATTCTGGAACTCTCCCTCAATCCCTGCCACTGTTTAGTGCCTGAGACACTGCCCTGCGTGGAGGGCACTATATAAGCGCAAGTTGTTGTTTTTCCATCTTATCAAAATTACCTGTAACAATGCTTGCATTCGATATAGTCTGCCTTGAAGCACTTCATTATCCTTCTGCAAAGACTAATTTTTAGGTGAACGCTGCAGCCAATTTGCACACATCAATGATCAGGAAACCACTATGAAGTCGGGGGTGGTGAGGTTGGGTGGGAGAGAGCTGTCGGCCAGGACAGGACACCAGGAGAAACTCGATTCGCTTTTCAAGCAGCATCTTGATCTTTAATGACTGGCTGAACATGCAGATGAGACCCTGAATTAACGTCTTATCCCAAAGGACGGCACCTCCAGCAATGTGTATAGCACTCACCCCAATACTGCATTGGTTACCCAATTACCTCAGTCCTTGCCAGACTGCACTGGCTGCCTATCCCAGAGAGGATCGATTTCAAGATCCTCACCCTTGTCTTCAAATCCCTCCACTCCTCTGCACCTCCTACCTCTCTGACCTCTCTCCTCAAAACAGTGCCCATTATCTTCGTTCCTCCGGGTCTGGCCTCCTCCTTGTCTCCCGAGTCCACCGCTCCACCCTCGGCGGCCGTGCCTTCAGCCTCTATGCCCCGAGGCTCTGGAATTCCCTTCCTCACTCCCTTCGTCTCGCTCCCTCTCTTACTTTCAAGTCTCTGCTGAAGACCTTTCTTTTCGACCGTGCCTTTGGTCACCTTCCTCCCCCTCCCCCTGGCTCAGCCCTGGGATCTGTTACTGTGAAGCGCTCTGAGACTCCATCCGGCGTGGAGGGCACTATATAAATCCAAGTTGGTGGTGGTGCATTAGCCTAGACTGAGCTCAAAGTCCAGAAGCTGCTTTGTACCATTTCCCTTGAAGGAACGTTGGAACAATTGGGCAAGTGAAAGGGGTCATGTTTATGTGCGTCCTTAAAATGTACCAAGGCAGAATTCTACATTGCCTTGTTTTCCCTCACTGAGCATTAGTTTCTGATGAACTATTCATTGGCTAGGTAGGTAGGGCTGTACCTCATGTACTGAATAATTTATACCTACGGGTAGAGGAAATTATCTTCCTTGTTTCCAACCTAGTACACTTCCATCAATATTTC